GGGGGGTCAGAAGGGTCCCAGGGGGTCCCAGAAGGGTCAGGGGGGCTCTCCCGAGGGTCAGGGGGGTTCCCACGAGGGTCAGTGGGGTCTCAGGAGGGTCCCAGAAGGGTCAGGGGGTCCCAGGGGAGTCCCAGGGGGATCCCAGGAGGGTCCCAGAGGGGTCAGGAGGGTCGCAGGGGGGTCGCAGGGGGGTCCCAGGAGGGTCCCAGGAGGGTCAGTGGGGTCTCAGTGGTTTCTCACGAGGGTCAGGAAGGTCCCAGGGGGTTCCCACAAGGGTCAGTGGGGTCTCAGGAGGGTCTCACAAGAGAGGGAGGATCTTGTGAGGGTCAGAGGGGGTCTCAGTGGGGTCCCAGAGGGTCCCAGGGGTGTCCCAGTGGGGTCTCAGGGGGGGTCCCAGGGGATTCTCACGAGGGTCAGTGGGGTCCCAGGGGCTCCCAGGGGGGTCCCAGAGGGGTCCCAGGAGGGTCAGTGGGGTCTCAGGAGGGTCTCACGAGGGTCAGGGGGGTCTCAGTGGGGTCCCAGAAGGGTCAGGGGGTCCCAGGGGAGTCCCAGAGGGGTCCCAGGAGGGTCCCAGAGGGGTCAGGAGGGTCGCAGGAGGGTCCCAGGAGGGTCCCAGGAGGGTCAGTGGGGTCTCAGTGGTTTCTCACGAGGGTCAGGAAGGTCCCAGGGGGTTCCCACGAGGGTCAGTGGGGTCTCAGGAGGGTCTCACAAGGGTCAGGAGGGTCTCAATGGGGTCCCAGAGGGTCCCAGGGGGTCTCAGAGGGGTCCCAGGGGATTCTCACGAGGGTCAGAGGGATCCCAGGAGGTCCCAGGGGGTCCCAGGGGTGTCCCAGGGGGTCCCAGAGGGTCCCAGGGGTGTCCCAGGGGGTCCCAGGGGGGTCCCAGGGGGTCCCAGGGGTGTCCCAGGGGTGTCCCAGAGGGTCCCAGAGGGTCCCAGGGGTGTCCCAGTGGGGTCTCAGGGGGTCCCAGGGGTGTCCCAGGGGTGTCCCAGGGGTGTCCCAGGGGTGTCCCAGGGGTGTCCCAGGGGTGTCCCAGGGGGTCCCAGGGGTGTCCCAAAGGTGTCCCAGAGGGTCTCAGAGGGTCCCAGGGGGTCCCAGAGGGTCCCAGGGGTGTCCCAGGGGGTCCCAGGGGGTCCCAGGGGGGTCCCAGGGGGGTCCCAGGGGGTCCCAGGGGGTCCCAGGGGGGTCCCAGGGGGTCCCAGGGGGGTCCCAGAGGCTCCTGGGGGGTCCCAGGGGGGTCCCCACCTGTCCATGGCCTCCTCGACGCGCGGTCCCGTTGTGGTGCTGCTCACGACATCGTCCAACTGCATCACGATATCGGCTCCTGGGGGGGATTTGGGGGGATCAGGGAGAGCCTGGGACCCCTCCCCTTTGGGATTTTGGGGTCNGGGGTCCCAGGAGGGTCCCAGAGGGGTACCAAAAGGGTCAGAGGGGTCCTGGGGTGTCCCAGGGGGCTCTCATGAGGGTCAGGGGGGTCCCAGAAGGGTCCCAGAAGGGTCAGGGGGGTGCCAGAAGGTCCCAGGGGGTCTCAGGGGTGTCCCAGGGGTGTCTCATGGGGTTCCCATGAGGGTCAGGGGGGTCTCAGGGGGGTCAGTGGGGTCTCAGAAGGGTCCCAGAAGGGTCAGGGGGTCCCAGGGAGGTCCCAGAGGGGTCTCACAAAGGTCAGGGGGGTCCCAGGAAGGTCCCAGAGGGGTCCCAGAAGGGTCAGAGGGGTTTCCATGAGGGGCAGGAGGGTCCTGGGGGGTCCTGGAGGGGTCCCAGGGGGGTTTCACAAGGGCCAGGGGGGTCCCAAGGGGGTCTTAGAGGGGTCACAGGCAGTCCTATGGGGGTCCCACGAGGGTCAGGGGGGTCCCAGGGGCATCTCACAAGGGTCAGGGGGGTCTCAGGGGGGTCTCAAGGGTCCCAGGGAGGTCTCAGGGGGTCCCAGGGGTGTCCCAGGGTGTCCCAGGGGTGTCCCAGGGGGTCCCAGGGGGTCCCAGGGGTGTCCCAGAGGGTCCCAGGGGTGTCCCAGAGGCTCCTGGGGTGTCCCAGGGGGTCCCAGGGGTCCTCACCTGTCCATGGCCTCCTCGACGCGCGGTCCCGTTGTGGTGCTGCTCACGACATCGTCCAACTGCATCACGATATCGGCTCCTGGGGGGGATTGGGGGGGTCAGGGAGAGCCTGGGACCCCTCCCCTTAGGGTTTTTGGGGTCAGGGGGAACCTGAGACCCCTCCCCACCCTTCCCTTTGGGGTCAGGAGGAGCCTGGGACCCCTCCCTTTGGGATTTTGGGGGGTCAGGGGGAGCCTGGGACCCCTCCTTTGGGATTTGGGGGGGTCAGGGGGAGCCTGGGACCCCTCCCTTTGGGATTTTGGGGGGTCAGGGGGAGCCTGGGACCCCTCCTTTGGGATTTGGGGGGGTCAGGGGGAACCTGGGACCCCTCCCTTTGAGATTTTGGGGGGTCAGGGGGAGCCTGGGACCCCTCCCTTTGGGTTTTTGGGGTCAGGAGGAACCTGGGACCCCTCCTTTGGGTTTTTGGGGTGGGGGCGAGCCTGGGACCCCTCCCCACCCTTCCCTCCCCCGATATTTTGGGGTCAGGAGGAACCTGGGACCCCTCCCTTTGGGATTTGGGGGATTGGGGGAGCCTGGGACCCCTCCCCTTTGGGATTTCGGGGTCAGGGGGAGTCTCAGACCCCTCCCCACCCTCCCCCTCCCCCGATATTTTGGGGGTCCCGCCTCACCCAGCGCGTTCTGGATCGGTCAGGAGGAACCTGGGACCCCTCCTTTGGGTT